TGGCAATCTACCTGGCATTCTATCTGGCATTTTATCTGGCAAACTATCTGGTTGAGGTCCAGCGATGCACACTGCGGTTGAGGTCCAGGGGTGCACACTGCGATCGGATCCTTGCGGTTGAGGTCCAGGGGTGCACACTGCGATCGGATCCTTGCGGTTGAGGTCCAGGGGTGCACACTGCGCTCGGATCCTTGCGGTTGAGGTCCAGGGGTGCACACTGCGATCGGATCCTTGCGGTTGAGGTCCAGGGGTGCACACTGCGAGGGGATCCTTGCAGTTGAGGTCCAGGGGTGCACACTGCGATCGGATCCTTGCGGTTGAGGTCCAGGGGTGCACACTGCGATCCGGAGCTTGCCAGACAAGATCGGCGAAGCAGATTGGCGAAGCAGATTGGCGAAGAAGATTGGCGATGAAGATTGGCGATGAAGATTGGCGAGGAAGGAAGGAAGGAAGGAAGGAGGGAGGGAGGGAGGGAGGAAGGAAGGAAGGAAGGAAGGCAGGGAGGAAGGAAGGAAGGAAGGAAGGAAGGAAGGAGGAAGAACAACTGTGATAAAATCTAACAACCCTCACCTGGCAGGTAAGGAATTACTAATACAGCAAGGTGAACGTAGAGGGTGACTAGATGACGGAACTGCCAGGTACATGAGAAAGAGTGAAACTATTGTTATGCACTTTTGCACTTTGAGAAACAATGGCACAGGAAAAATCTGGCCGTTTGGTCACCCAGTGGCCTCACGTTTGGTCACGGAAACACCATGAAAGAAGGAAAAAAGACAAAGACCAAAAGCCCGGCCCAAGCTGGGTGCCCCACTTGAAGGCTTCCCAGCTTCAGAGCTGCGTTCGCAGCTAGTGACACCAGGTCTGCTTTCCAGCTTGACCGACCGTCGGAAGTTGCTGATGCTCACCTGGGTGGTGCTATCTGGGCTGGGCCTTGGCACCACAAGCTTCATTTCCATGTGCGCCGTCGACGCTTTTGTTCTCGGGAAAAACGACAACACCGAGCGCGATGGGGGCGATGGGCGGAGGTACAATATCGCTTACACCCTGGACAATAAATATTGCCGCGAACTTGGATCTTCGGCTGCCCTGCTTACATCAAGATACACCCCTGGCCGCCCTGGCCTTAGAATCAACGGAAGTGTGTGAACTGGTCAAGGTTCTGACCCTCCTTACACGCCAACTTCAGGATCTGAGAGGCCCATGCCCGATCATCCTGTTGGGGTTCGCATTCGGAACATTGATTATTATATGGAGTTTGTACACATAGGATCAATATGCTTTGATAAACAGACAACTGTGACAACTGTGCATTCTGTATGTTCTCGTCCTTCAAAGAAGCCTGTTTCCACAGTACTCTGAGCTAGGATCACTCTGTGCTATTGATGGTCTGCAATCACCACCTCAGCTCGTGGAGGTGCTTGCAGAAGCTGCAGCTTTCCATTTGGCCCTGGCTGGATGCCTCAAGCAAACTGACCAGAGTTGCTGAGTCACTGGGATCCAGGTCATCACGGAAACCTCCGGAAACGCCTGGACCTGCCCAGGCAGACTAGTTTGATCAAGCGCTTTGCCACGTGTTAGAGTGGTTCCACGATTTCCACTACAGTGTGAAAGGGGTGTTACTTTTCTATCTATTTGGGGATCATATAGGAATCTGGGCCGAGCGAAAAGTGACTCTGGGGCATGGGCACTTCGCCGAAACACGAAGGCGCATAAACATCATAAAACGCGTCTTACAACTTGATGAGTGGCAACGTTCGCATCTGGCCAGCGAGAGAAGAGGCTGTAGTCGAACAACCTGATTGGGCATTCAACCATGCCATCCGTGCCATGATGCAGCCTCTTTAGGCAGAACACAACAACATTTACAAAGTATCACCATCTTGTCCTCCTCATGGTGTTTTTGGGGCGAGCGAAGCACCAAAGTAATATGTTCAGTGTTTCTTCCAGCTTGGCCGTGGACGGCACGGGCCGGTGCCACAACTTGGCCCCTGAGGTTGGTCTTTCTGCCGAGCTTTGCCTTAGTCACCTCGCTGGCGAAGGCCGACCCCCGGGCCCCTTGGGGCGGCCGGTGTTCGGCGGGTGGACAGGTTTGGAGTTTTGAGTGAACCTTTTCAATGGACCGTAAGGCGTTTGGGGGCAACCCTCCAAGCACTAAGTGGCGTCAAGTGGCATCCCAGTCCTGATGAATAAAACCCCCTACCAGAATCCTACCAGAATGGTTTTGCACTAGAAGGGCGATGACCGGATGAACTGATTGCAAATGGGGACAGCAGGCCTGCGCAGTGGAAACTCACAGTGATGTATGCGTGAACTTTTCAGTGAAAAACATTTGGCTCGAGAAGAAGTCTGTCATGAGGGCGGAAGCAAGCGCTGCTGCTGTTGAGCATGGTCACCAACATGCTGCTGTTCTTGTGGTGTTTGCAACTACAAAGCAGAATTACTACAACTATGGGCTGTGTTGAAGAATCAGCTGAGCCAGCCACTAATCAAGCCCCGGTAAGAGCCACATTTCAACAACATTCCCACAGCTGATCAGACACGCTTTGAGGTGCGTGGCGGAAACTCTTTGATTCAAGGTTCTTTTGAGGTGGTTTGATGCAAAAGGATCAAAAAGGGACCCAGATTCATCGAGCCCAGCAGGCGAAGCACTGTTCTCACCCAAAGGCTCCACGCCGCCACGCCAACTTAGACGACCAGTGTGGTGTTTTTTCTTTTTTTCTTCGGGAGCTTGGCGATGAAACGAGAGACCACAGATCCGCACAATGTAGCATATGATATTGTGGGTGCTTGAGCCCTCAACAGATGGGGGCAGCTTTTTCATCGCAGATGGGAACCCCAGGGACAGGCCCGCTCACGTCTACCCTCTCGCATGCCCTCCTCGCCTCCTCGCCAGCGGCCATTGGCCACCGCGCTGCATGCGGCGTGGTACCAACCGGGCAGAAGTGAGGCGGGGCGACAGTAGACTGACGAAGCGAAATGGTGGGTCTGTGCCAGAGCTCTTGAGGGCAGGAGCGGAGGCTTTAACGTGCTAGTTATATAGTTGCATCTAGTTGCGCTAGTGTTGCAGGAAGCAAGCATCTGACCCAAAATGGATGTGGCTTTCCGGATTGGAAGCAAAGACCAGGTATTGGTCTTATTAATTGGCATTCCTACCTATCATCTTTGAGTGTCTTGCAGACCTCTATTGGCTAGGTCTTGTGAACTTATGCTAAAACGAAGAGATGGCTTGATAGCTTCAGGTGTATACTGATACATACTGATATACAGATGTAAACAGTATACTGATCTCTCAGCTTTGCCTTGGGCCTTGGCAGGCCCCACCACCACCGACGCCGTGAAGAGCTCAGAAGTGACGCGGCAGCTCCGTTCCAACCTACGCAGCTGTTCGCAGTATGTCTGCCAGGCACCGTGACCTCCCTCCTCCAAGCGTGTTGTCCCATCCTTAGGAAGTGACGAACTGAAGACTCATGGTGGGGTTTGGCTGATGTTCGGGGTGGCAGAATGGAACCGTTTGAATTTTGTAGCCACAGCATGTGGTTCTTGCTCCAGAAAACACGGCCACGCCGAAGAACACATGCGGTTGCTGTTGAGCACGGCCAGGTTCCGGGTCACAGCGACCTACTACTCTCGGAGTTGGGAGGTTCGATGGGACAGACTGGGACGGTGGGTGGGTACGTCGCATGTGCGCCCCACTCTGACAGCATCCCATTTGGGCACGGAGCCTGGTGGAATGATGTTGAATCCCAACTCCGGGTGCGTTGGGGAGGTGGGTGGGCGAGTCGGATGAGTCGGATGAGCTATAGGGCATACTGGCCACATTTGACAGCTGTGCTTGTTGGGATGCGAGGAGGAAACTAGGCTAAAACCTGTGCCGCCGTAGTGAACTTTCCTGGCAAGGTCGTGCGTATGCGGCGTGTGAGTTGAGGGGCAGTCATAAAGGTGCTTGAATCAATCCATCAATCAATTGCGGTGAGAATGGAACATTTGTAGGGTGGCAACCTTTTGTCAGGACATGTTTGCCAAATTCAGGATCACATTTCTTGGGGTCAAGAGTCTCCAGACATCGGTTGCCGTTCTTTTTTTGGCATCCCTCTTGTGGCAGCTAGTTGACTTTATAGTGAACTCCAGTCTTTTTTCCCAGAGTGGCTGTCAAAATATCACCTATAGAGTAGGCGGGGAGAGAAAGAGAGAAAATGCGAGAGAGAGAGAGAGAGAGAAAGAGAGAGAGAGAGAGAGACCACTTGTTGGGCATTGGCTCAAGATATTTGTAGGTCTCAAATTTCAGTATCAAGCACAGGAGAATTGGTCCCAAAGATGCTTCAGGTGGCGGTTGCTTTGCAAAGTGGCTTTTCGCTTCCGCAGTCTTCCAAAGTTGGAGACTTGAAGTTTTTGGCCCAGGAGTCAGGAGGCTTTCAAAATGCCTTTCTTACGGCTTGTTACTGGAAAAGGGCGCATCGTGACTGACTCTATGGAAGTCGTTGAGGCTCCGAGGCTTCAAGATGGAGACCAGGTCGCAGTCATTGCAGGGCAGCCTAAGCTAGCTGCAACTGAAGCCTGCTTTCTTCATGATCTGAACATCTCCAGGTGACAACCCTGTCACCAGAGCTCCACAAGGCAAAAGCTCTAGAGCTCTCTGCAGTCCAAGATCGGCTGCGGGTGTGCAGCAGACCCAGGCCACAGTTCGTACATTTGCTGCGATTCGTTTTGTTGTCTCGGTGGCCTGCCCGTCAAGAAGTGCCTCGTAGCTTGAGTAAGGCGGCAATATTTGCTCCAAAGCCCAAGCGCCAGACTTCGAGACACAGATGGCGCCATCGGCGCGAAAGACTTGAGACCGACTTCGGTGCAGCCCTGCTTATGGGCTCGACGTCCTGAAGCTCGAGCAGGGGAAAAGTCTGGGCCCATGAAAACCGTGTGCGGTGGCTTAGAAGGCACAGGTGTGGCCGAAGCAATCGACGCTTTGCTACAAGAGTTTGAAAAGCCAAACGGTGGAGCGTTGATAAGCCTTGCTTTGGGCCGATCAACCCCGATTTTGCTTTGCGATGTCTGAAGCAGGTTGGATGCCCAAAATTTGGGACCGGTGTTTGTTTTCACTGTTTTCAGGGTTTGCCCAAGTCTGTCAAAGTTTGTACGTCCATTCCTCAGGGCGACGCTCTTTCTCCGCTGACGTTGCTCTCTGGATTGACGGTCGGGTGCTGCAAAAAAGAGGGATGAAGCCACACACACACACACACTGGTCAACTTCTTCGACGTCAGCCGAAGTCGGTCTTCAAGAAAACGATTCTAGAACTGCGGAGCTCCAGGCCCCCAGATAGCTTTGGGTATTGCGGCGCTTGATCGTGAGGAGACCTTCCGGACGCGGTCAATCCTCTCACCAGCATCATTGACAACAAAAACTCTCAAACCAATCGGCAACGAGAGGCGTCGCCCAACTTGCTCGTGATCACCACTGAGCTCAAACCGAGCAGCGTGTCCAGCTCTGAATGCAGCGCAGCAGGTGTCTCGGCGCTTGAAGCTCACGGGCCAATATGGACTGCGCAAGACGGGCCCTGAAATCGACCCCGACCATCGGCAGAGCTTGCAGGGACCGCCTGCTCAAGGACTCCGAAAGGCAGCCTACGAACTACCTGACAAAGCACGGGGGAGGCCATGTTGCTGCTTAAACTGCGCTTAATTTTGCGCGGGCTTTCATGCTTTTTGCACTGAGCTAGCCAAGTCAGGGTCCCCCATGTCACGACAGCCATCTTCTATGGTCGCAGCAATATCGCGTTGTGGCCTGGAATCTCCTTCACTTTCCTCAGCTGATCTTGGACTGCAGAGCTGTCACTACACATGGTGAGCCCCACGTAACAACGGAGGCCTGAACTCGCCGCGCATTGTGCAGCTGATCTTGGACCGCAGAACTGTCCCCGCCATGATGTGGGCTTCCTTCCCCACATCACCAGAGAGCCTTCTTCTAGGGTTGCAGCAAACGCATGTCTTGTGGACTGAACTTGCTCAGTTGATCTTGGACTGCAAAGCTGTCGCCGCCATCTTTTCCATCGCGGAGCCACCTTCGAGATCGCAGCAGATGCCTGTTCTGCGGCCTGAACCTGCTGCACACCCCGCAGCTTATCATGGACTGCAGAGCTGTTAGCGTCAGCGCCGCAATCTGGATTGCCCCCGGTATATAACTGCAGAGACATCTTCGAGGATCGCAGCAAGCGCACGTCTTGTGGACGGAATCTCGTTCACTTTCCTCTGCTCTTGGACGCCAGGCCTGTCACTGCTCCAATCTTCATCCCCAGGCGACAACAGAGCCATCTTCGAGGTTCGCAGCAGATGCACATTCTGAACCTGCTTCACTACCTTGCGGGCTTTGCAAGGAGAGGTCTTTGTGACAGTTTTGTGGTCCAAGGTCAGCTGACAACTGATTCAGGTCAGAGGATGTCTTTGCTGGGATTCTGGAAGATGGCTCCCTTGTTACCCGGCGCCACGAAGACTGGGGCGGTGACAGCTCTGCGGTAAAAGAGCAGATAGCAAGCGTTTAGGTCCTTTAGGTTTTTGAGCTGAAAAGCGCCAGCTGTTGCACAAGGTAGACGCAAAACCGAGCTTGCAAGCACTCCTCGTGACCTTAATTCTCAAGTCAGGCAGATGCCGCATGCAAAAACTTTACCTGGAGTCCGTTTGTTGTGTGGTGATATCGAGTATGAAGTCCATCTTGTGTGAATATCCGGCGTGTTCCCTCGGCGTTGTGTTGAAAGTGGAAAGTGTACGGTTCGAAACAATCTGAAAGAGTTGGGCACTTGCAGACTTGCAGACAATCATTTTGATCAAGGATAGGCCCAAAACATGTGGAACATGGGCAAAGCAACAGGTATTTGAGGTAGATGACCCTTTCCTCAGTTGAAAAAAACAACATTTTGTCTAAGCCAAGTTGCAAGGCGGCTGCAGATTTGGAAGCAAACCCTGTTGGCACCTCAAGGCTTTGCGGTTGAAGTTCTTAAACCCTGGAGAGCTTTCGACTTAGTGTATGTGACAGGACATTGGCTCAAATTTGGGAAGGGATTAAAACATGTCGAGCCCAATCCAATGACATGGGTTGTGTTTTCTTTTTTCCGCTGCGCCGTTGCACCGGGCTGAGGCCCAGACAACCCTGTCGGTCACACGTTCCTTGGATCCCTCTTCGTGGCTTGGCCAAACAGAGCCATTGCCATAATGTATCAAACGAAACATCTGCTGCAAATTGGTTAAGTGTGTAGGCACTAATGTTACAAGAGCGTCTTCAGTTCACTTCATGTGAATTTGTTTGTTTGACAATATGTTTATAATTTGTAAACACCTTCACACTGGATGGGCGTGCTGCAGAAGTCGTGAGGTGGCCTTTATGTTAGTTGTGTCAGTTTGCCACAGTATCCCTGACATACCCCATGCATTTTTTCACCCTGAATTTTTATAATGTTTGGGAGGGTGATGATGATGTTCGGAAGAGTTCAGTCCATACAAGATATGGTGTCTGCGGATGCAAAGCGTACTTTTGCCGCCCTTTTTCACAGAATCATATATATGTTTTTTTTTAAGGGTTTGAAGGCTTGCCAAGCTTGGACTTGAAGCCATTAAGAGTTCTATCCAGCTCCTTATGTTTTTGAATGATTGCAGTGTGTGTTTTTTGCTAATGGAAAACGTCAAAAAGAGTTTGTTGAACTAACGACAAGCCGAAAGTGAGACTGCAGTGGACGACTCTGTGTGTTCCAAAATCACCGGTCTACCCTCTCCAGTTGCCCCAGCCACTCGAACAAGAGAAAGAGAGCGAGGGAGGGAAAGGGAAAGGGAAAGGGAAAGGGAAAGGGAAGGAGAGCGAGCCAGGTCCATCCTGTCTGCCCGTGGTGCCACCTTTGCTGACATCGTGGAGTCAGCCCGTCAGTCGTGTTGTCTGTTGCTTTTCAGATGTAGCTTCTGAGTCAGTTCGTGGGCTCCACATGCAGGGAACACGTTGAACATCCACGGAAGCGTATTCATAGCAGAAGTGCTGTCTTGCAGAAATCAGCGATGGGCTCGCTGCGTTGGCTGTGCACAGCCTGTGCACAGCCTGTGCACAGCATCAAGCGAACTCCCCAAAGCAGGGGAATGATTGCTTGAGGTCAAACAAATCTAGAATTTTGCTATTGGCTAGAATGAGAATAGACTTGCTCTACTACACTTTAAACCAGATAACTTGTTTCCTAGGCTTCGCCTGGGACGTAGTTGAAACCTAGACGCCAGGTCTGAACAGCTTTGCTTCATTTGCTACGACCAGGCAGGTGGGTACCTTACTGGTCTTGTAGCCACCTATATATTTGACAATGTGTGGAAAAGAACACTTATTGAATTGGGTGTATGCGGAAAAAGGTTGAGAAGGGTCCATCGAGAATGGTAAACTGCCACACCTTTGCCAGGCTTGTTATGTCTGATCATGGGATCATCAATGCGTTGTCATCCTGGAGTGGATATAGAATGTGTGAACATCCAAAAAGCAATGGGAGACTGGTCATATTTTCGGATTCGTTTATATTCTATCTACTCCACGGTGGTTGTAGATCTGTCAGACAAGTAGAGGCAAAACAAACCCAGCCCCCCCCCTTTGATTCCGGATTGCCTTGGTGACCACCTGCCTCAGGCAGGATGCGCGTCGAGATTCGTGTATATAGCTGCTGCTGAAGTCTCTTCTCATGGGGGTTACACGAAGGCTAAGATAGATTTGTCAGGTGCCAGAAGCGATTCTACTGGAGTGTGGTCATGCTGGTGAGAAACTCAGCCCAGCATCATGCCATGTTCTGAGCCCTGGATGTATCGTCAACCACCGGTATATTCAGTTATTATGAACTATGACGGAAACATACTGTACTATGCCACTGCAGCCTACACAGATACCGCTGGTCACTAGGCATGTGTGTGGGCTGCGCTCTGCAATTGCTGGAAAGGCGCCCTGGACAGGCGCCGTTGGCAAAGAATGGCAAAGGCGATTAAACTTTGGACACTTTATGAAACACTGCACTGTCCTCCCAAAGCTGGACGCGCCCTGACGCGCCATGGACGCACCGAACCCGGCCGCTACCCCGAAAAAAGGCCGTTTTTCGGTTTTTCAGGGCGGCCCGCAGTCCACTGCAGTCCAGATCTAGACGAGTCTCCAGAAGAATTGGCCACAGGCACAACCATCGCTTCCACTAGCAGGCTCACTGCGCCATTTGCCGCTCCCACATCGCCAGCGTGGTGAGGCTTCGAGCACTGGGCCCAGTCTCGGGCATTGCAGCTGGCAGAGGATACGGTTATATAATGAATGAGATTCTTAATATTGTTAGGATGGCCAGAAGCAAAGCGTATTGGGAAGATTTTCCAAGATGCTGCGAGTGTATTCGTTGCTTGGGCTCACAGCTGTGCTGTTTTTGCTTTCAGGTCCCAGATGTTCTGAGAACCACTCGATTCAACGTATCTTGACCTCCCCCCCACACGCCTCACATCAAGCTCATGGTCTGCGGGGTCCTCGTATGTCCTCGTGCACCTCAACCATCTGTCACTCGTTTTCCTCTTTTGTGGAGTTTCGGATTTCCAGACAAATCCCGTTCGAAACAAAACGTCATGCGAACTCCAGCGCAAGGCGCTGCCTTCCGGCGCCTCGTAATGCGTAGAGCGGAGCCGGTACGATGACTCGTCCGGTACGACGATCACTTCAGGCAGACGTGGCCGTTCCAGGGAGTCTCTTCGTACGCCCGGGCCCGGCCTCTTGGGCTGGCCCTGGGAGACCCTCCAGTGGGGGGACCTGGCTGTGGGGGGTTGGTTCGGCTGTGGAAGAGAGACGCTGACCACTCCAAAAATGACACTTCATACAGACTATGTGCTTTTTCCTCTCAGGGTGGTGTAGTACACATGGGAGTTTGATCAAAGTATATAGGCACCATTTCGGTCCGTGATGTTTTGATATGTTTTGTTTTGGGAAAGATTGCATCAATCCTGGCGGAACTGCAAACATGTCGGAGTACGATCAGCGACGTTGTGCTATGCCAGCTGTAGCAGCTATGCCTCTTGCAGCTACACTCTGTGTAGCCTGGATTGCAAGTTTTGCCGAGGCTCCTCACAGTCCGCCTTGTTGGAGGCTGGGAACCACAGCGGAAGGCCAAACGCGAGGATGCGTGGATACGCCTGTGGCAAAGTGGAGCATAGATGGGCGTGTTGATTTGCACGGCAATTTCGATGTCATTCACCATCTGTTGCAACTCCATCTACCAGGCAACTACAGGGAGCTCTGAACTCTGGCCACTTGGAGCTGTTTTCAAAGCCTGCGCGATTGCATCACTGGAAGAGTCACCCCTCAAACCGTCAGCATACCAAATTCCACCCTCCCGAATCCAGAGATGTCCGTCGATCAGCCGATCAGCGACCAGTCTCAAAGGGATGGGGTTTTGCAGTGGGAAGAACAGGCGCTGTCCGAGACGTTTGGGACCGGCAGAACTCGATGTAGAAGAGTTCGCTGTAGATCTATGTAGATGTTGTCTTTGATGAATATGACCAGCGCATCGAAATGACCGGAAGCCAGGTCTGATGCTACAGGGGTTTGGATCAGTCTCAAAGGAATGGGCTGTCGTCCATGGAGTCCATAGCATTGTCCAAACATTTGAGGGAGACACGCCATGGCTGACTGGTGCTTAGTAGGGAATAAGATGGAATAAAGGAATGGATCCTAAGGAATCTGTAGTGGGGGATCATTCCATACCCGACAGCCTCGTCGCACCAGTCAGATGGGGGCGTGTTCTGCACAATCCCACCGCTGTCTGTGGGTCAACGCCCAGGCCAACGGTGGCCAAGCGCTATGCCGTCTCCGTGGAGGCCGTCCGAAGGCCGCCCATCGCTGTCGAAAGCGTGGGGTTTAGATGTGTTTATTGGCTACAGCAGAATACGGATCTTTTGCTTTGCAAGCTGCTCAGCGTGAAACACGCTCTCCAGAAGATGGCCTGGTTTTCTGCGCTGAAACTTGGGCACAGGTATATGTAGATGGCCATATTCTCACAAAGAATCTTCTTTTTTGGGGGGAAACAGCTGTTGTAGTAAAGCAAGGAGCAAGGACCTTTCATGATCTTTCCAAGCTGCTCCAGTTCTCCCTTGCTTCTTGGTTCAGGCCGATGGGTGTCCGCTGGTGGCTTCCGTCCCTGAGATGATCAGATCATCTCATCCCAAAATGGCATTCGTCCGGCGGGCCGCTGCTGCGAGCGATCAAACCAAGGGATGAAGTGATGAAGTCCGAATCTGAACAGCTCAGAGGCGGTCAGAGTTTTTGACTTCACGCCCTCCGGGGTCTGCAGCGTTCTCAAAGGCCTTGACATCCCTGAAATGCCATCCTCCACACCTTTGAGCCGCCCAGATGTTTGTCAATGGAGTCGGCATCAAACAAAGCCCAGCGACGCAGAAACACCCATTCTGAACGCAGCAGTCTTGGCATGGAAGCTATCAAAATAGGGAGACCTCCCAAAGACCCCCTGGAAGAAGGAAACTAGACCAAAACCCATTGGTTAGGGTCTCGCTATTAAAATACACTGCTATGACAGAGTTCGCAATATCAGCGCTGCATGGTTCTGTATCCCAAACGCAAGTTTGTGCATTCACTTTTTCATCAGGGGTTGAACGCAGGTTGGTGTATGATGCCTGTAATTGGTGAGTTCACTACCGATCCACAACGGCGCTTCTTGGCTCAAAGCATTTTTGCCAATTACAGAGATTGAAGAGGAGCGCTGCAAGCGAATGGCCTGAGGTGTCCCGAAGCTTCCAATCGTTTCTTCATGACCTCCGGTGGTTCACGTGAGTCGCAGCTTCAGTACTTGTAGGTGTCTTGGAAAAAGGAACTGTGCCTCTCAACAAGACAAGCATATACTCCACCACCACTTATTCTTCAACCATGCCAATTGACAACGAATTCACGCCGCTTTTCGCCTTCGCGTTCCAATGGCGGCGCTTGTTGGGATCCCTGACAGAGGATGATGAGAAGAAAGGATGCCAAGGTGCATGTACAACAATTACTTACAATATGTTACTACCTCTCGCGCCAGATCTCACGTGTGAGACGCGTCTGGCTTATGCATGACGCACAGGTCATGACGTAACGTACAAGCAGCACCAAGGTGCTCAAAAATCGCACACCGGGATTTCCCACGTTTCCAACGCCCGGCCTGCGCCACGTGCAAACAAATTGGCCACCAGCTGGAACCCTTCAGGTGCCACGAACGGAATGGCAGCATCTATACACCCCTGTGGGAGAGTCCGACCACAGCTTCGAGGTCTTGTTGAATTTTCCGCCGTCGACATTTTCGACAGTGTTAACATGGCCTTGCGAATCAGGTTGCACACATCACGGAAGGTCCGAGTTTTCTCATCATCAACCAACCGATACCCCTGGGAATGGAACACAGCGGCAAGCTCACAGAATGAAAAAGAGGCCCGTCCCATCCTCCTTCCACCGCAAGTTACGCAGAAAAGAACAAATGGCAGTCCAATTTGCACCACCCCCTTGCCAACCCTTTGGATACTGGAGTACAATTAAATTAGACCAGACTCAATAGGCGTTTTGTCGGAACAAGATTCACTCTTCTATTTCTTTTGCAGGCGACTGCAAAGATGTAAAGCCTTAGTTGATGCAATTGCTTTGACTAAGGTCCCTTTGAATCTATGTCGTTGACACCTCAGTCTTTGACCAACTGGTAGGAGCCAACAACACTTTTTGCGGACCTGCGGTGTGGCGAGTGATGTTTTTTGGGGAAACAAGCTGCTTTTCTCTCCAGTCCTCAAGCGTGATTTTGGGACGATGTGCATTCGTTGGACCTGCAGGCCATGCTTCGAAGTTCCTCCAAGTGCGAGTCCTGGAGTTGTAGATGGCCAGGTTGGTTTGCTTCGGCGATCCAGGAGGGAGTCTGGGCGGCCGAGGATGGATTCTCATGCACCTACAAGTTGGTTGGCTTCGGTCTGTCATGATTCAACCATCCCAGGCAGTCGGTCGGAGTTCGATAGGGTATGACCGTCAGGGCCCTGCTTCAAGACGTTCTTCGTGACAACTCATGGCGGTCAAAGGTGGAGATTGGCAGCCACAAAAGGGAGAGCGGCAGGATAGTATCCAACGAGCCCATCCAACATGGGTCAGTACATTGACGTCATGGGATTCGACACACAGACGCTCACGCTGCCGAGGCGTGAGCCCTTGCAGGTGGTTGCCGCTCAGCTGAGGAAGAGTGGATAAGAGTGGTGAGGGATGCGAAGAGCTGGTCTCGTCTTCACGTGGGTGAGACCCATACACAACCACTTCAATGCCACTGAGTCTAAGTGCATAATTCATCCTAATGCCAAAAACCACTCTGATGCCAAATCCAAATGTAATGTATTATAACCTTTGCGTACTTTCAACGGAAGATCGAATCAAACAGACGGTTCTGCCTGCAGGTTCTGCGTGGCAGTGTTCTGCTTTGTTTGTTCAAGTCACCTCAGTCCCATTCAGGACCCACCGTAGGTGCACTTGTTCGCTTAAGAGTGGTAAATGTGCAACCAGCGTTCTAGTAGAGTGCGGCTGACAGGTGTCACTGGTAGTGTTGGCTGACTGGTGCGCTTGGAGCAATAGCTCAGGTGCGCTTGCGCCCCCTGGCCTCGTCAGAGACAGGCCCAGTGATGGGGTCAGGGGTGGCTTCATTTATTCATTTGTAGCTATGAGGTGAGGGCAAATGAGCGTTCTGTATCTTTTGTAATGTATCTCAATCTCACTCCAACTTGAAAGAAGCATGGCGATCCTGCCTTTTTAAACCAGTTTCATGAGAATAGGGCCACCGGCTTTGGTAGGACACGCTGATGGAGCCCTAAAGGTTTAGGTCGATCGAAGGTTGACCTGCCGTCTGGACCTCGAGGTTCTTGGCCAAACATAGATCGACATGCGGAGCTGGGATCGACATGTCCAGTCATGTCGACCAACTGATTGACCAATTAGTCGTATACTGGGCCAGGTGGCACGCCCGGCAAGGCTTGGTTCATTGAACATCGTGTGAGTGGCCCAGCCTCCGAAGTTTACAAAAGCAGCCAGGTCAGGTGTCCTTCCAGTCTTTAGGTCAGGATTTATATATGTATAAGTTGTTCCAGAAGACTGTTACTGGATTGATCACAGTGATCGAAAACAAACATCGACTGGATTGACAAACTGTTGTAGGGCCATTGTAGTGGCAGTTTAGCCACTCACAATCTGGTTCGGACGTCTTTTGAATCTGACTAAGGATGGACAGCAGTGGGCCCGCTGCTTGGGGACAGGGCCGGGCAGGTTCACTTTTTCAACGACTGTGAAGTGGTCTTAGGCCCCAAATTGGTACTGCCCCCGATTTGATAGCCTCCCCCTAATCACCTGCCACAGGGCAAACAATTTTCATGATTGTATAGACTTTGAGAATGCATGGCCATGAAACATGTCAGGGTTTTCCCTTGGTTGTTCCTTTGCTGAAAAGCTCAGGTGATACCGTATCAGTGAATATCAGTGATACCTCCTAAATTATACATACGTAGATACATATGGGATCATATGGGTGTGTATAAAAACAAGGAGACCTCCCACGGAACCCCTGGAAGAAGGAAAATAGGTTGGAGGTCTCACTATCAAAATACACGCCCACATATCTTCCAATAGTTGTTTCTGATTGTATCGTAGCTGGATTGTGATGACAGGGCCAGCCGTGGAAGTAAAGAAATGGAAACTAATGGAAACACATGCACATTCAGCAAACTCCAACCACGTATTACTTGACCTACGGGGTGGGTTCAAAAGTCCGTCGTCAGCGAAGCCCAAACTTCAGCATCCCGGACGTTCACCATCCCTCAAGCAGTGCCAGCGAGGATGCAAGTCAAGGGTTTCTGACACTGAGTTCCCACCTGCACGAATTGAAGGGGGTCCTTCATTTTCATTTTCATTCATCCTATTTTCAGTCTGATTGAACTTAATTATATAGATGGGTCACCAATGTTTAGGTCGATTCAAGAGGATTCAAACCTTTCTGGGGGTCATGGGGGACATAGTGGATGGACCACATCTCCAATCGAACATATCCCACAGTTCAAGCTGGTACAGGATGATTGCCCAGTAGGTGATACAGCTATGATACAGGAAGGATCCTAACTGCCATGACATAGGGTATTTGAGAGGCCACTGCACTTCGAGAGTTTCTCCAATTCTTTTTTTCTCACACAGGCTCTCGAGCGGTGTTCTTACTTCAAGTATAGGAAGAGGTGCCTCTTTGGCACTTTGGAGCCTATTCTCTGGGGGTCGATGTGCTGGCGTCATAAACAGGGCGGACTTGGCAGAGCTATCTACACCAAGCGTTTTCGACCGTGTTCAGGTCGCGAAAAGCAACCGGATGAGGTGACCCGGCGATCCGTTCCGGTGAATGGACCAACATGGAAGGACCCACATGGTTCCGGTCACTCGAGGGTCGCTGACCAAAATCCGTTGTACGAAACAAAACAAGAACTGAATTGCTGTAAACTGCTGTATGTTTCACCTCAGATGTCACCAATAGTGGCCGGATGGCCGGATGGCCGAGGTCTGCCACCAGGGGAATGGCCGCGGCTCCGACGCCAAGGGCTCCTTCGCCTTTGACCTCTGTGGCATGGCGGCAGCTAGGGTAATGAAAGGCATGGGAACCATACCAGAACTGGACCCCTCAGTCACTGTAGCTGACCACCACAAGGGACCACCACAACGCTCTACAGTCAACTGTAGTACCTCTTTTTCCTAAATGGAAGACCATCTTTAAGTTGTTTGTTTTTCTTGAATTTGTGGCCGTCCTCACAAAGGCCATCTGAGCCTGGCGGCTGTAAATTGACAAAGATACCTATGGCAAGTGTGTGGAGTGTGCTAGGTAGATCAGATCCTTTTGTCCAACGGAACCTTGTCATGATGGTTTTTTGCAGGGCCATTTGGAGGGAATGCTTGTTTGAAGGTTCTTTTGAGGTATTTTTGAGTACAAGCGACAAATCTTTGCCAGGGGTTCTGGCGATTGGGTTGCCCCAAGTATCCCTTGGCCAAGCAGCTTGTGCCACTTCGGTTCGTCAGTCACTTGGTGCCGACAACGACCACCGCCAGGCTTCGACGACGAGGCGAGCAACAAGGAACTCTTCGACGATGCGGCGAGGAAGCTGGTCAGTGGACCCAGGGTCGTCGCAAACACCACGGCTCCGTGAACTCGGTGTTCGTTCTACGGACGAAGCGTGGTTGACAGAGCGAGGCGTTTGGGTTTTTAGATCGCTTCTCATCTGCCAAAACGACTTGATTACTGCGGGGGCTTGTTGTACAGGTGATGGATGAAGTGACCTACATCACCCGGCATAGTCTAGCATTTTGTCATAGTCCTGCCATTGACAAATGCAACAATGTCCCCAATCCTCCAATGTGTTTACATGCGACATGCAACAGCATCACATCAATGCAAGGATCAACAGCTCACATGACGAAGTCAGACAGGATGTTGCATTGATTATAGCTAGTAGTAACAAGTGCATCGCTACTAGTAACAAGTGCCTTACTAGTAGTAACAAGAAGCTAGTAGAAACAAGTGCCTTACTAGTAGTAACAAGGTTCGCTATTAGTTAATTTAATACCCTCTTCTCATGCATTGCACGCCCTGCCCACGACGGCATGGGACCTGACGCGACGGTCGTGTTGCTAGGTGCAGTCCGCAGTGGCCGGTTCCAATGCCTCGATCTTGGCCTATGGACAAACCAGCTCTGGCAAGACACACTCGGTGGGGAGACACGACACTTGTGTGGGCGGGATGAGGAGTGCGAAGTGTCACGGAGTTTTGGAGTTCTGGTGAACTTGCAGATTGATGAGTCATGAGTCACCTGGAGGATAGAATTCTTTCAACACTTCCATTTGGAGGAGCTAGGCAGCTAGGCCCATGTAGTAGCAAATCTAGCAGCATGACCTGCAGAAATGCTCGAAAACACCGCAAGAAACCAGGGTTCCGCTTTATTTGTATTGCTTTCTTTCTGAGGTCCCAGATTACAATAATGGCGATGAGTATATAATTAGAGCTCGGAATAAGAATATGACAATTTAGATAGGGCCTCAAGGTTGTGTACAAAGGAAAAAGAAGGAGGACGAGGAGGGAGGAGCAAGAGGAGCAGGAGGAGCAGGACGAAGGGGAAGGAAGAGGAAGGAAACAACTAGAGGCAAATAGTAGCTAGCATAGCCGCAGCAGCTTTCAATTTGGTTGGTTGCGTTTCAGATCCTGGGCACTCCCTATGAGCCGGGCATCTTGCCGCTGGCGGTCGAGGAGTGCAGCAACCAAATGTAAAAATGTGAGGGATGGGTGGGGGATGCTCCAAAATTCCAATGCGCTTGAGTGGCCCAGAAGTTGATTCCGAAGAACAAAGCTTTTCCCCAACACTGGACCTTGAAGCTTAAATTCTTAAGTCCTGGTTTCCACAGAAACTGTTTCACTGGGATTTCAATCGAGAGTTTGGTATGATACAAAAAGCAGATAACCATCCCACTGGTTGCTGGATCGCCCTTGTTTAGTTCCACACTTTAGTTCCCACTCGTCGCGTTTCAGCGCTGAACCTCTCACACCAACAGGAGATCTTCGGCTTTCAGGAAGATGGCCCGAAGATCTCAGATTCGAAGACCGGTCATTCTGACAACCCCTCCCATTTGTCCGCTGTAATTTTGTCTTGAATAAGCAAGCATCCTTGACATGCCCATTTCACAAGGGAGGATGCTGCAGGAGTATGCAGGTGTGCTGATGTTTCTTTTTTTTGTCTTGTTTTTTGAGCGCATGGGTATCGTTTACCTTCAGCATTTAGTTGAATGGGCAGGCAAATTGATAAACAATTGATTCAATGAGTGAAGCTTGTAATTAGTCTTGGCTTATATAACGCATGAAAATGAAACATAATGAACCCACTATTCATTCAATGCCTTTTTTCACCGCCTCACCAGCATGGTTCTGAATTATTTTTTTGTGTGTGCGGTTTCAGAACAGCTTGAACTTCTGAGTTGCAGCTGTGTTCCTTAAGGGGACGCAACTTGGGTCCCACTTCCCATTCCCAGCTGGAATGACAGAGCCAAGGCCTCCGGGCAGTGGGGAAGCAGGCGAAGCTTTCCTACTACGAGATTTTTAATGAGAAGGCCGGTGACCTGCACAACTCGGGCCGGACAACGAGCAGGTTTCTTTGAGATCATATGACCGATGCAATTCCAGAAGTACGATTCTTGGGGGAAGAGATAAGCATCATTTTCATCAACTTCGCATTTTTGTGGACGATGTCTTGTTCTGTGCAAATGGATTTCTGCAGATCGGACGCCATACCACGACCTGAAACGTTCGGAGCTTCGTAGACGGAGCTTCCCCCAGCGACGCCGTCGTGCGACAAAGTCGTCGCCCTCCGAGGTCACGGATTTGCTGGCACAGGGCCATGCACGAAGCTCAGCCAGACTTTTTGGGTCTCGAAGCCTTTTATCGGTTTTAAACACCAAACCATGCAGGAAGATGTGCTCTACAAGGAAAACACATGTGCATTTATTAAGAACTTTTGATATCAAGCCAATAGTTGCGTGTTCCAAGATGTTCCAAGCTGTTCTTGTGCGGAGTTCATCAATCGCTTCGCTTCTTTTCGCTACGACAGGGATCCACCTCGCTTCCAGTCAAGGAAGATGCAGTCGCAAAGCTCAGGAAGATGCAGTCGACGTTAACGTGTTTATTCCTTGCATGGATGAAACACATGTGGTGGGCGCCGATAGCGCGGCACCCGCCCCGTTTTTGGTCCAATAGTTTGGAGCGGAGCTAACCCGACTGTTTAGCAGCTTTCTTGCAACTTCTTTATGAAACGAAAGCAGCCCATGAATTCCGAGCAAAGGAGGAACGAAAGTCAAAATCTAGATTTTTTCACCTACGGAACAATCCAGAGTGTTCCTGTATTTTACTTAGACATAATCTGTACTATAATGTTATATTGTATAATATAGATAATTCGGTCTTGCTGGTCTTCGCTAAGGGCCATGGCTTCTTCGTGCAAGGGCTCAGAGAGGCGCCAGTCTACAGCAGCGAGGACCGAGGGCCTATCTGGAGAGGTCAGATTTGAAGAAAGATCCAATAAGTTTCCCCAAACATCTATGAACCAAATCATTGGTGTGTGAGCTATCCTGTATCCTAGCTAGGATCGAACTTCTCCTACTAACATTCCTCCTTACTTAATAAAGTAGGTGCCTGCTTGATTAAGTAGGAGCCGGCTAGAAAAAAAACAAGAAACACACCAGCAAACAACGGATTCAACGGATGTTTTGTTGCTTTGTTGTTTGTTGGGCCTGGACGATCTTTTGGATCAACGCACCTGGAGCACGGGTTCAAACCGCTTGAGGACGTGCTTCGCCTCGTGGCGCGAGGGGAAGAGCGGAGGCGATATGCGAGAACCCGTTGGAACGACTACAGCAGTCGCCGAGCGCCCAGGGCGAGAGCTGAAGAGATTGAGCGCCCAGGGAGATTGAGAAATGGATGCAAAAGGTTTGCAGATTAGTTCTTGGAGGTTGACACTGGGCGTTCTACTGGAGTGCTTCCAGTCAATCCCGGAAATTGCAGTTGCTGGAATACGTCTCTTCATTCATGACTTCGGATCCTTGCAACACCGTTTGGGGTTTCTTCAATTGCTGTTGACCATTCCAATCCAGCTGGCTATGCCACAAGAAAATCGCTTGTGAGATGAGCTCCAAAGGGTGGAAGGATGCTTGAAGAACAGAAGGAGGATCCCAATCGCCAACAATCGCCAACCTTTTTTCAGGGTTGATGGAGACATTCTAGTCTCTACCTCCATCTCATTGATGACCTTGAAGGATTTTCCAAATCTGACATGACTTAAGGACGAATGAGATTGTCCATCAAGTGTGATTTTGCTATCAAATCATTGCACATGAGCTTAGTCATAGTCTGAACGACTAAATGTTTGATGTGCCGATGAAATTGAGGTTCACATGTCATCTTCACCCTCTCCTTCGAAGCGCGTGGCCCGCGCATGGAGGTCGAAGGGTTGTCCGGTGGCGAAGTTCGATGTGCTCAAGGGGCTGTCATGTGGTGAGAAGAAGCGCAGTAAGAAGACAGCTGGGCATGCGGTGATTCGGTCCTCAAATATGTGACACACTACTGTAGACATTCTGATCAAATCATATCACTTCATTTCAACAGGGGAGCAGGGATTCACTCGAGATCTGTTTGCGAGGCGCCCACGGGCCGATCCAAGCTGAACATCGTGGACCTTGCAGGCGTGGGCTGTCCACGAATGAACGGTTGATCGTGGTGGAATCTGATAAGGGCAGTGCCTGCGATATCCTGCAACTTCAGGACAATATACATGTTATTATAGTTAAATTGCTAGATTATAGTTAAAAACATGAATAGGCTGTTTCTTCTTATTTGAGTTTCCCAAATCAACACAAATGGAATGTCATTTCCGCGACATCCTTGTGATTTCTGCTCTGAATTTCAGCGTGTGACAGTTGATACTGGGACTAGAAAGATTGGACTAGACACGCAGCAGATGCCACACTGTGAGAGTCGATTCATGGCTTGAGAAAAACATCCACAGGCTGTGAGAATCACAAGCACGAAGCATCAGAGGACAGACGGCAGCATCGGAAGAGCATGAGGTTGAGCTCCACCTGGAATATCCTTTAATGATCAAACATGAGGAATGTGCATGTCTTGCAAGATTAAAGTGAGTGCTGTCTTGAGGAGGTTGAATGCTTGCCCCCAAATTGGCCTGTCTTGAGGAGAGATATTCCGGCAAGTGCTGCCTGGGTTTTAGGCTTCGTTGTGGATTTCTCGAATTCCTCCAACCGGCCTCTCCCATTGGGTGACACCCAGACACGTTTTCAGGATGGTCGACACATCAACCGAAGCCTTTTCTTCTTGGGCGAGGCGGGCTGAGCCAACCACCATGATTCAAGCGACCAGCAAAGATTGCGAACAAGGCTCTCAGAAGAGAAGTGCCGTTCAGGAGACTCTTTGGGTTGGTTGGCAAACTGTATGAACGAAAATCAACAATCATGAACAATCACATTCAAAGCCTTCCATCAACGATGTTGCTGGGAATGGACCCAGGACCCAGCAAAACTCACCATCATCGCGCGCAACGCGTCGGGTAGTCCCTTTAGTCGTCCCTTTAGTAGTCATGGGTCCGTCTCCATGGCGCCGGGCGGTTCTTTAGTAGTCATGGTTCTGAATTTCTCCGCCTGCGATGCGCCCGAGCAGGTGATCTCCCGGTTGTGCAAAGATGGCAGCCGAAGCCGGGCTGCCGAAGCCGGTTGGAGGGTTGGAGTGCGACATGGCCATCAGTTGGTCAACGGCCATCAGTTGGCTTCCCAATGAATGTCATAGTTAGGAAGGTCCTAGTTCATCGGCATACAGGGGCCATGTTGTCTCTTCATGTCCCGAAAACCAAAAGAGCAGCTCTGTACATTAAACCCTGCTTTTCAATCGCCGACAGTTTGAGTGAGAGGGTGCTGCGTGTGAAGGACCAGTGACTCCAAGGCATGTCTCCCATCCGGCGATCACTCTGGCACAGCCGAAAGCAGGCTGCGGGGGGGCGATCCCAACGCGTGGGATTCGAGCCAGCGAGCCGGACGAGCTGGCTGTTGGGATTGGCCCGAATCCTGAAACCTCAAAGTGATGGATTCCTTGAAAAGGTGGACAGAGCTGCCAGTTCGCTGGAGGCTCAATGAGACTCTCAATTGGACTCCCCTCTAAGTAGCGAACAGGACGAGGCCGCAAAGCGGCGGTCCTTCGCAACCCGAGTATGAGCAGCTAGGCCCAATCGATGGATCTAAAGAGTGAACATATATAACTACAGTGCATAATATTATATATATAACGAGTAAACAGGCTTTTGTTTGGCATTATGGTCCGCCTGGTCTATTCAGTCTATTCTTGGTTCCACATGTCAAGTCGCACCTCAATACGACTTGAGGACATCTGAGGTCATTTTAGAACCGCATTCAACACAGGAGAAAGGGTCATTGAATTGAATATGCACAGTATACCATGCAAACAAGCAAGCTCTAGAAGCAACTTCTTTTCTTGTCAGGGGTCGTTGCAGGCATCTTGGCGGTGATCCGGGATTTTTTCACCCTCATCCCTGCAGGAGAATGTCTTCACGCCTCGGCATGGAAGCTTGGAAGTGAGACCCTCACGGTCCTCCTCGCCCGTGAGAGGCTGACCCGTGCACGGCGCGCCCCCTCTCCTAGCTTTCTCTTTTTTTCAAAAGCAGGACGCCATTGACCGCTGTTGGTTCCGGTTTCATAGTAGGCATTCTTATTTCATCTCGTGAAACATGTGTTGTCTGGTTGGTGTCGCACCGAAGCAACAGGGTCGTCTTTTCACAATCTTTCAATAATTGCCGTGCACCGTGCAGTGGAACTGACATCTTGGCAGGTGTGGGCTTGCGAGAGGTTCGGACGCCGTGGCTCCGCCCAGTGGAAATTTTTGCATTCTTGACCAAGGCACGCAGAAGACTAGGTCTTAGATTGATCCCCTTTGCGCAAGAAGAGGAAAACACATACTGTGAGCATGTGTGGTCTGTCGGATTCTCTTCTGTTAGCTTTTCTTCGCTCAGCCATGGTGGTTTACAGATCTCCTATGGCCCTATATATAGGATCCTGTGATATTCCTGACCATGTGGCCACGATGCGCCTGCTCCGAGGCCCAGCGCCCGCCGCGAGAAGAACGACTTCATTCCATACCGAGCCTTGACACAGCCACGCGGGCAGTGGGGTCAAACGAGGACCTTTCTGTTGCGTTGACACTTGGGTGGCCGAACTGGAAGGAAAGCGTCCCTCGGTTTGTCCGTCATGGCGCCGGACTGCAGCTTTGATGAGTCATGAGTCCATTGACCAACCATTTAGGGACTACTAAGAGATACCGAGAGCATCAAAAAAGACGATGGATCGTTGGAACTTGCGATCTCGATCGATCCGTAGATCTTCTCTTTGAAGATCCACCAAAAAGGTATTTCAGAAGGTCTCAGGTCGCCCGTCGAAGCTGGAACGTCCGTCTTAGGAGATTCCAAATTGACTCGCGTCCGGAGGCCTAGACTAGAGGTCGATGAATGTCCAGCAGAACATTTGTTTTCTTTCTTTGTTTTTAAAGCTTTTAAACTTTTTGAAGGTGCGCAGTTATGACATTATTTGACCCACTAGTGGTGCTTTTTGATCGGCAAATATCGACCAGTGCTATCAACGACCGTTTGGGGCTGACGTCGTTTGCCGAGGTGCTTCGCTCATCCTTAGGTGGAGATGCCCTGACGTTGCTCCTGGCCAGGAGTCCCGTCCAGCGTCGAGTCCAGCCATGGAAAGCCCGCAGGGACAGGGGGGGCACCTGGGGTTGTGACAGGGGTGCAGTTGATCTACGTTGTTCATCATTGTTTATCTCTTAAGTTGGAACATCCTTGATCAAACTTATCAACGATGATTGACGCTCGCCCTGAAAGAACCCCCGCAGGTTGAAGGACCGACATGTTGCATTTTTTGTGCCACACAAAAAGTGTCTGACAGAGACGAAAGGGACGTCGATACCTTGTGAAAGGGAATGCGATACCTTTGTCGTGTGGGCTCACCTGGATGCACCATGAACTGCACCATGCTGCATGTGCTGCTGGAGCAACTCTGGAGATTCTTCATGAAGACTTCCTTTGATGGTTTGCCACCTGCCAAACAGCTGAGATGCGGTCCTTGAGATGTCTTCAAGCAGCGATTGTACAGAACTTTTGGGTTCCGTGTGGCTCGTGCTCAGGTCACTGTTCATCCTGCCGCATGCTTCGCTGAACAGCACCTTATCATGTTGTCGTGGGGTCGTTGATGAGACTGGGCAGATGGGTCAGATGGGCAGATCGCCTGCAAGAAGCTGCAATATCCGTGTGCAGTCATTCTATTTTCATCTCCAACACGCCATGGTTTGTCATGACCACATTCGCACCAAAGCTGAGCTTCAGACTTCCTTATCCCTGAGCTTTCACCAAATCCGTGAGCGCTGTAGGAAAGAACGATATATAGACCAGGAGATCCTTCACTTTTGATAGCTCTTTTACAGTAATGGTGATTTGAGACCAACGTGGGGTGAATAGGGGTAAACACTGAACAGATTTGAGTATCTTGGGCTTGAAACAGCTTGTTCATGCGAACCATGCACCTGTTGCCTTTTTGGGTTTGTGTCTTTGCTCGGAGACTACCCAATTGGGCGATGTTGGGCGAACCTTTCTCCGTCGACTCCAAGTGTCGAGGACTTTCTCCGCCCAGGTCTTTGACCTCGTTGAGATTTGCAACCAAAGCGCGATCAGTGGCGGGGCAGAAGACGCAGAACGTTTGGCTTTTTGGGTCTCCCACAGCTCATGACATCTCTCCTGAAGGCATGTGAATCCAAATGGAGGTGCAAGGAGACCCGGCAGAAATTCGTGCTTAACATGTCCTTTTTTGTCATCTTGCGCTGCACCTGTTTGGTTGGATGTTGTTGCATTTTTCACCTGGGCCATCCCAGCACGATCTGCTTTGTAAGGCGCCCAATTGCGCAGTTCTCTCTCTCTCTCTTATATATATATATAATTCCCCAATAGCCATGCTATGGGGTCTTGCAAAACTAATAGGCGGACGGGCGCCGTCGGGTCACCGTCAGAGCTGGTGGGCGGATGGTGTCCCGGTCATGTTTTGATGGCGTCCGGGTCATGTGATGCTGGTGTCCCGGTCATGTTTTGGTGGAGTCCCGATCATGTTTTGATTGTGACCCAGTCATGTTGTGATGGTGTCCCGGTCCTGTTTTGATGGTGTCCCGGTCATGTTTTGATGGTGTCCCGGTCATGTTGTGATGGTGTCCCGGTCATGTTTTGA